GCAGGGAGCCCGATGCGGGACTCGATCCCGGGACTCCAGGATCATGACCTGAGCCGAAGGCAGTCGCTTAACCAACTGAGCCACCCAGGCGCCCCGAGCATGTACTTCTTTTAAACCAGAAAAAAATTAAGTGCATAGATTTCTTCTGAGCCAAGTTATCTAAAATCGGTTTTAAGCCTCTCTAGGCTTGGGGGTTCTTCTGGGTTTAAAGGCTGAGCACAGCATCGCAGCCCGCCCTGACATAGATGGGTAGACACACACACACATGCACACACGCCCCCACTTCCATGTCAGCCAAGTTATGGGCGACAGCCCCTCCTCACAGTCCAGCCAAGGGTCACAGTTCTCGAGCAGGTCATGTTCGCCCCATAAGCTGCTAAGGCCACGCAAGAGTCCACCAAACTGATCCCGGGGACCCAGCACCGAGTCCTGGCCAGAAGGAGGGGGTGGGCAGGTCCCCAGGCCCAGGCCTCTCTGCCCTTAGCCTGGCCTGACATTTTGGCCTGTTGCTTAGGGCTGCCTCTCCCTGTTCCCGGGAGTAAGAGACCTGTGTTCAAAGCAGAGTCATTTTCATCTTCACTGCTGCCTGGTCTCACCTGGGCTGTGTGTGCCTGCTGTCCGCGCTCTACTGGGCGCCTGCCTACTTGCTGGTGAGCATGCCCGTGTCTGTGTGCATGTGTCCGTGTGCAGACATGTGTGCGCGCTGCTCCAGAGGGAACACAGGAGATGTCTGGGTTTCTGAAGCTCAGGAGATTGCTCCAGATTGTGCAGTTGGGGCTAGAGGTCTGGGCCCCACAAGAGAAGAGGGAGGGGCGCCTGGGTGGCTCAGTCAGTTAAGCGTCTGTCTTACGGCTCAGGTCATGATCTCAGGGTCCTGGGATCGAGTCCCTGCATCGGGCTCCCTGCTTGGCCGGGAGCCTGCTTCTCCCTATCCCTCTGCCGCTCCGCCTGCTTGTGCTCTCTCTGTCTGTCAAATAAATAAATAAAATCTTAAAAAAAAAAAGGAGAGGGAGAAGTGGATCTGGGAGGCCACAGCCCCTGGCTTGTTTCCTTTGGAGCTGAGAACCGAGCTGGGCCCTAAGGTTTTCCACTCCCTGATTTAGAGATGGAGAGCACACTGCCACCTCCAGAGCAGGGACCGGAAGCCCTCCAGGAATCCACTGGGGTCCAATTATAGCCTCCCACTGGAGTCTGACTGTTCCGGAGTCCAATCGCACAGTGTCATATCAGTTTGCTTATCTAGAAAATGTGTGGAAGGGTAGAAGGGGTTGATTTTTAACAGCTCAGCTTTGTATGACCCTGGAATTCTCCTGGGAGAAGAAGAACAATAACTTAACATTTATTGAGCTTTTTACCACGTGCCAAGAGCGGAACTGCTCTAACTGCTCATCTGACCCTGTAGTTTCTCGTGGGAGAGTCACAGAGGATAGGGGCTTCCTCTGCTAGCTGTGGCAGACTAACCCGTGACTCACCAAACCGCCTAGAACAGCTAGAAAAACTAGGGAATGATAGGAAGTCATTGAAGAATCACCACAGAAGCAAAATCCCAGAGGAAAGAGAAACACCAAGAGGTGAGTCCGACCCTTGGCATCACCCTGCCCTTCCAGCAGTATCAGAGGCTGGGGAGAAAAATGGGAGTTCAGGGCCTATTAAGGAGGGACCCCAGGAAACACCCCTGGTTTTCAATTGGGACTTCTTTAGGGGTATCCCCGAGGAGCAGGAGCAAACCAGAAACAGCCCAGTCCTCACAGGCACAGAAACCAGGCTTTGAATCAGCTCCAACCTAATCGGATTAAGGTGATCTACATGTAGCCTCACTGCGGGCCAGAAGCAGAAGTTGTCCGGGGCCGGCGGTTCTCGGTCGTTAGTGTGCGCTAACATGACCTGCATCATTAGACCACACTGCTGGGTTCCATCCTCACAGCTGATGGTTCTGAAATGACCCTGAGAATTTACATCTCTAATAAGTTCCCGGGTGGTGTTGATGCTGCTGGTCCAGAGACCACACTTCAAGAACCCTGCTTTAATAATCACTGAAAGAGGGCGCCTGGGTGGCTCAGATGGTTGAGCGTCTGCCTTCGGCTCAGGTCATGATCTCAGGGTCCTGGGATCGAGCCCCACCTCGGGCTCCTTGCTCGGCGGGAAGCCTGCTTCTCCCTCTCCCACTCCCCCTGGGATCATGACCTGAGCTGAAGGCAGACGCTTAATGACTGAGCTTCCCAGGCGCCCCTTGGGACTCTGCATTTTCAACACATGCACTCACCTCCTCCTCCTCCTGGTCGTTCTCCTGGCCCTGCAGCTCCTCTTGAACCCCGTAGGACACGGTCTGGATGGTGATATCCTCTTCTACTTGGCCAGGTTCTGTGGACTGCTCCGCGGGCCCAGCCTGGAGCTCCCTGTTCTCTGTGAAGCTGGTCTCACAGCTGCTTGCCCTGGGCTCCTTGACCTTGTCCCTCCCCAGGAGGCAGCTGGGCCTGTACCAGGCCTCCACGGCCAGCTGCAGGGACCCCGGGTCCAGGAGCTGGTGGGTGCGAGCAGAGCCAGCACCACCCAGGAGGTAGGAGTAGAGCTTCTCCTGGCATGACCAGCTGGGCGAAGCCTCGGGGTAGGGGTAGCGGCCATGCAGCGGGGCGGGGCTCCGAGGCAGCAGAGGGTTCTGAAGTTCACTCAGACTCTCCATGGTTCCGGGGGGCAGCTCCAGGGAGGGGAGCCTGGGCCAGCCGAGCGTCCTCAGAGAGCCTGCTGGGCGAGCAAGACAGACAGACGCTGAGTCCCAGGTGCCAGATGCAGGGCTGGAAGCATTTAAGAGCACAGGCCCTCAGACCCTGCCTTTGCCACCAGGCAGCTGTGGGGCTTCCAGCTGGCTACTTCTCTTCTGAGTGTCCTTTTCTTGGTCTACACAGTGGGCACAGCAGCAGGACTTACCTCACAGAGTTGGCTCATTCATCTATCCTGCGAACACATAATGGCTGAGCGTCAGCTCCCTGCCGGGCACCATGCAGGGGCTGGGGACACGGAGGCGGGAAAGGCAGGGAGCAGGGAGGGGGAGGAGGATGCACACTGTCTTCACGGAGCTCACAGAGGTGAAGGACAGAGAGGGGTGTAAGAACGAGCAAGGGACAAAACGGACACGAAGGTACAGGGAAGGCTTGGCGCCGAGAGCCGAAGGAAGAAACCCAGTTGGCAAGGCAGGGGGAGGGAGAACACGTTTCATGCAGAGGCCAGATCAAGGATGCTCGCTCCGAGAGCCTGGGAGAAGGCTGGTGCTTCTAGGGGTAGAGAGGGAGGGGTGAGCTGGGGTGTGGGGCCAGAGCGTGCAGCCCTGTTTAGACCTAAGAGGGCTTCAGGGGTCTTGGCAGGAGTGATAGGATGCAATCTGGGTCCAGGAGTCATCCCGGCGCTGTGTGCGGGGAGTGGCTTGGAGAGGGATGGGCTCACTGCGACACCCATAGGGGGCTTTGCCACGGCTTCAGGTCAGCTGAGGACAACTGGAACTCAATAGTGGGGAGATGCTGACAGGACATGGCAGCAGGTGGGATACTGGGCTGAGGGAGGATTTGTTCAAGGGTTGGATGGGACTGTGCTTAGCTCAGAGCTCAGCACAGGCCACAGGCTCACAGCTGTCCATTCTTCCCAGGGGAAGATGCTTCTCCCCAGTTATGGTCTTAGGGGGATGCACCTTAGACTAATCTCCCCTCTAAGGCAGATTGTGGTTTTGGGAAATCCTGTGGGGTCTAAGGCAGGGCCTCCTGAGCATTAAAGTCTAGACTTGTACATCCCAGCTAGAAGTGTAGATATGCTCATAGGCTAGTGTGTGGACATCCTGGAGGGCTACCTCTTCCTCCTTCAGCCAGCCCTGAGCCCCTGGGAAGGGTGCATAGTAGGTGCTCAGGGCTGGCTGAAGGAGGGAAAGGCAGCCTGTGAATGTGGCTACCACAAACCTACACATACTCTGGGGTGTGGCAGGTAGAAACGGGATATGGAGAGAGAAGAGGGGCAGGCCTGGTGGCCCCAGGGACCCTGCGCTCTCCCTCCCAGGCCCATAGTAGTTGAAGGGTGACAGGATCATGTCTTGCCCTGGATTGATAATCTGACGAAAGCAGAGTTGGTCCTACCCTTGGTACTTTGGGCAAATAATCATGCCCTTCTGGGTTTCCCCAGCTGTAAAGTGCAGATGATAATTCCAGCCCAACCCACAAGGTTGTTCTGAGGATCCAGAGATGGCCGAGATGTCATTGCAGATTATAAGTAGGAGGGGCTGCTGTGCTTCCTTCTGGGCTCCAGTCTTTACCCACCCAGGGTCATTTCTGGCCTGATGGTAAAGGGAAAAGTGTGGGGAGGGATTTCAGCCCCCAGGGATGGGTTTGTCTAGGCCCCCTCCCCAGTCCCACTCCCCATCAAGAATCCACAGCCAGAGGCTGGCCATTTCTCTTTCTGGCCCAAGAAAAGTGGCTGGATTCTAGAAAGCTGGTTTTTTGGGAAACCTGCAGACGGATCAGGGCCCCAGGAATAACAGGGAGTGGGACAGAGTGAGGGGCGGGGGAGGGCCTGGCAAGACTGGAGGGGCATTGAGGGTGAGTCCATGGGCGGGGCGGGGGGGGGGGCAGCATCCCCTGGGTGGCCTGCTAGGAGGGAGGAGGGAGGAGGCTGCTTGCCTGGGGGCAAAGAAGCAAGAGGAGGCTGCCCATGCCTCAGAGGCTCTGAGCCCTGACAAACGTGGCCTCTGGGGCTGGGGATCCAAGAATGTCGAACAGAATCATGGAGGGACCTAAAGAAGGGTGTGTGGCCCAAGTGTCCAACTCCTCCCCCAGGGAGGGCACAGATGGTGTGGGAGACGCTGGGCTGTGCTGCCCCTGGGGGCTCTGTGGGTGCACGAAGCAGTTACAAGTCCTACCTGGGTTGTCACCCAGCTGGGGCAGAAGTTTCTGCAGAGACAAGACAGCGGTTCTTGGGAGGAGTGGAGCTCACACGGGCAGGGCCTTCACTACTTCTCCCCCATCCTGCCTCTCTGGGGTCAAACATGCAGGGAGCCATGGGGACTATAGTGAATGTGCCCGCCCTCCTCTGGGCAGATTCCCAGCAGGCCTGGTCTCTTCTGACCCCCGAGGGCAGCTTTTGAGTCCCTGTTCCAGCCTCCCCCACCCCCACCAGTGGATGTGACTCACAGATATGCAGTCCAAGGGCCTGTGACCCTAAGGCTCATTGGTTTGGGAGTCAGGTACACTGGGCCTCCATCTCTGACCCACCCCCATTAGCTCTCTGATCTGGCACCTCGGTTTCCCTATCAGTAGTAAGGGGGGTGGGATTAAATGGTCACTGATGTCGATGGTGGCACCAGGGCTCCATGATCCCGTAGCCTCAAGGGGCCCTGCAGAAGTGAACTCCCCCACTGCCTGCCCCGTCAAGACTCAGGGATTCACGAGCCCGCTCAGAACCCAGTGACGTGCCACCTTCCCTATCGTGGCCCCTCGAGCACCCCGAGGGAGGCAAAGGGAAGGCAAGGCATCTCCTTGTCCCATGGACAGTGGAGTTACAGCATCATCCCCTGGCTTCCCAACGCCCCCTGGGCTGCCACAGTCCGCTCCCTGCCCTCCATCTCGCCCACCCTGTGGGATTCTAGGACATGGCTCCCGAAGGTTCCCTAGCCTCTCCTCCAACTGGTCTTAATTAATGCCCCCTCTGCTTACAGCTCCAAGGGTCCCTGTCACCATCTGTGTGAGCAGAAGTATGTAGGGGCATTTCGGTGGGGTTGGGTGGGAAGGATCAGCCCCAGGCCCTCCAAGCAGACTAATGCATCAATGTCACCCTGCCCTATGCCCTGAAGGAGGGATAGGAGCCCTTGCCTTGGCCAGTCACCTGTCTAATTCCCCAGAAGGAAAAGAAGGATACTTGTGGCCAGGAATCAGGCCCTGGAGCTCTGGAGACTTGTAGGTGCATTTGCAGGGCATTTGTCCAGGGCAGGGCAGGGGCAGCTGGGTCCCCACTCATCCCCCTGCTCTTGCCAGCCATCCCCTCTTAGTCAAAGTATACCCCACCGAGCTACTGAAACCCAGCCATGCAGCCTTTCCTGGATTACACTCCCCTCCACCGCACTCCGATTGTGCCTTTGGGCAGAGCGTCTCAGCTTCGTGTACAAAGACGTATGATCCCAGGTTTCCCCAATAGGGACAAACTAAAAGCCACCTGAATGCCCAACAATGAGGGACAAGTTAAATAAATTACGGTACAGCCCGATGGTACAAGGCCTTCAAACGGGTTTACAAAGAGGAATGACATGAGAAAAATACTGCAGCTTGAGGGAGAAGGAAGAAAAGAAAGTGGTTTGCGCATGTAATCTAACTCCACCAAAACGTCCACAGTGATTATCTCCAGCGGTGGTTGCACAGGTTTTCATTTTCATTTTTACACCGTGTTTTTTTCCGTTTCCTGTATTTATTTTTACATTGAGCATGTACTTCTTTTTTTTTTTTTTT